ACTTAACTAAAACATTTGTGGCTCTGTTTTGCTTGAATCAATGAAAAAAAAAATAACAGAAAATTGCCTGTCACCATCTATTCTGTCTTATCCTCACAAAAAGTCCCTTTCTAAAGCTGCCATCAACCTGTAAATTAGAAATATCTGTGTATTAGTTCATAAGCCTAATAGCCCTACGCCTCCAAACATAGAGGTTAGGACTATTATAATAGGAAGCTTTACCTTGCTATAAAAGAAAAAAAATTATTTTATGTTGACTGATCAGGTTTCAGTATTAAGATATCTTTTGCCTTTTTTCACTTTCATTCTTTCCTGCATGTGCTGACTTTAGAAAGCTCTTCGAAGCCTCCCTGGTGGCTCAGGAATTAAAGACAGCACCATCCAGCTATTGCCAGCCTCTACATGAATTCAATCCCAGGCCAGGGAGCTGACCCACATGGTGCAGCAGACCTCTCCATCTCACCTGCTGCTCCCCTCAGCAGTGTGTTTCAGTAGCTCTGCCTTTTGTGTTCCCCACTTTGTGTCTCATGAATCCTTTCACCCCCTACACCTCAGACCTGTACCCCAGTTCTTTTATGCATAAATAATCTTAAAAGAAAAAAAAAGCTCATTAGTCTGGTTTTATATTCCACATTGAAAGTAACTTTTTCAAAACTGACCTCTCAAGTTTTGTTATGGCTCTTTCTTAATACAATTATTCAACAAAAAAATGACTTTTAAGTCTTTTTAAGTCAAAAGAGATCAATGCATAAAAGTAGAAACAATACAATATGCTATCATAAACACAATAGAGCTTTAGTATTCATACAACCTAAGTTTATATATTAGAAAATGATTTTATTTGCATTTGCACTAACAGTTAAAATACAAATATGGGGCCCTCCCTGGTGGCGCAGCGGGTTAAAGCACAGCACTGAGAAGCTAAAGCCTCTTCCGCATGAGTTCGATTCCCGCCTGCCGCCTGCCCCGGAGGAGACCACATGGCGAGCCAGACCTCTCCTGACCCGCCCGCTGCTCCCCTCAGCAGTGTACTTCGTTGATCTGCCTGTTCTGCTCCCCACTCTGTCCCTGGTGAATCCTCTCATCCTCCACATCTCTGGCCTGTACCCCAGTTCTATATGAATAAATAAATCTTTAAAAAAAATACAAATATGACACATGATGATGCCTGGGATAATGTTTTATTAGACCAGCAGTATCTTTTCTCCAAAGCTTGTCTGCTCTGAAAGTTTTGTCAAGTACTCAGACAAAAAGTCATTGACAAAGTACCATACTGGCCTTGGCAAGCCATAATTTTCCAGAACTGTAAGACAGTGTTTGGGTGATGCCAAGGATGAATCCTGTCACTAAACATGAAGGAGAAATCAAAATTACCAAGGAGGCATCATCTATAATTGCACAGCATAAGTGGATGTCACTCCTTTGACTAGAAGCTTTGTGGAACTAGCCAAAAAGTTCATGAGATGTTTTATTTTTGGAGAAAAAGCAAAATAAGCTACTTTATAAAATGACACTGTTGGCATTATCAGTAATACACAAAGTAAATGATTAATGCTGCTATTTTGAAATATGAAATAAGTATTCCAGATTATGATGACGCAAGCTGTATGGAAGCTCTTAGTTTATCTATAGATATATTTGAAAAAGAAAGTATTGTTTCTCTACCAGGTAAGAAAGTCTGTACTTACAGATAATCCATTTTGTTATTTTGTGAGTGTGACATAAACTGGTAAATGAGGGAACCTTGGGTTAGTGCTGAGACACTGCCAAGTGTGCACATATTACTATCGAACACAGTTTTGAATAAAATGAAATTGTCATCTCATGCAGTTTTGTAAGCCACTTCAGTAAAAATAAATTTTATATTTTTCCCCCATCCCCACATCCTTAGCCTCTTTCCAGAAAACGGCAATCAGGAATGTGCTGTGATCTCAAATGAGTCATTGGTTAGAACAAAAGCTAGCAAACTAAGGTGTTTGGGCTAGACTTGTCCCTTTCTGTGAACTGCAGTAAGGATCTAATGAGAGAACAGATATGACAGCCCTTGGTAAATCACAGAGCAACCATTAAATTAAGACATTACTGTAGGTGGTAGTTAGTATTATTGTCTCATCGATCTGCCTCACTACCTTTCTGGACTTTTGTTATATGTGATCATTGAATAAAGATGAATCACTGGTCTCAGAGAATGGTGCCTCCATTCAGATTAAATTTTCTTCCATATGTGCATTTGACTATTACTGTACATTTATATTTTCTTTCAACTTTTTTTGAAAGATTTATTTATTTAAACATACAAGAACTGGGGTATAGGCCAGAGGTATAAGAGGGAGGGGACGAAGGGAGTCACCAGAGACAGAGTGGGGAGCAGAATAGGTAGATCAACTGAAATACACTGCCGAGGGGAGCAGTGGGTAAGACAGGAGAGGTCAGCTGTGCCACGGGTCAGCTTTCAGTACAGTATCAGACCAGTGCTGCAGTTGCTGCCTTTCCTTCATAGTGCTGAGACTTAACCTCTTGCACCACCAGGGAGCCCTGTTTTTTTGGTGTTTGGGGGAAAATGCTACCTAGTGACACATGAAAAGTTTATGAAGTTCAAGTTTCCATAAAGTTTTGTTAGAACATAGCCACACTCTGGCTTATGTAATTATATATGCACTACTGCCTTCATGCTACCACACAGCTGGCCAGTTGTAGGGCCTGTAAAGCCTAAAATACTACCTGGCTTCTACAGAAAAAAAATTTGATTACTCTTGAATTGTAGTAACTTACTTTGATCCATCTTACTGGTTTTTTCCCATGGAAGTTCACTTTAAGAAAAGGTCTTACTGCCTTGAAAACAAAATTTTAAGTATGTAAACTTTTCAAAAGTTCAGCTGAGTGAACTAGCATTTCTGTTCACCAACCACCTCCCACCCCAATAGAGCAGGGTGTGGTTCACAGATTAATTTGAAAATACAGATTTAAATAATTCAAGACAGTAGAAAGTACATGTTTTAAAATAGTATTTTGTAGGTGTTAAAAAGATTTACCTATTTGTGCTACCAGAGAGAGGGATATTAAGCATTTTCCCCATTATAATATAATTTTTTCTCAAAAGATAGATTAAACATAGTTCTAAAGAGGGGCATTTGACTCATCTTCCTTTTCTTTCACATTGATATCCAGAAAATTGCTGTCAGTCTTCATTTTTCCAAACTCAGTTTTCTGTTCCCAAAAAGTGTTGTTCTGATTTAACTTTCTCCTAGGCTTCTGTAGCATATAGTAAATACTATAATTACTAATTGCTTGGTGTCTCTGTACTGAATTATAAGTAAGCTTCTATAATAGCTCCCTCTCTAGATATAGGAGGTACTGTTTGTTTTAGGTAGTGTGTTTTATTTCAGACCATTGGCTTTGGAGTCAGACTTACCTTGTTTTCTCTATCTAACCAAATCTGTTTCCTCATCTGTGAAATGGAGATAATAAGAGTAATGACAATAATCATAATACCATATAGAGTTTGTGATCCCTTGAGTGAAGGATAAAAGTAAAATGCTTAGTTAAGTTACTGACATATACTACTATGCTAGATTTGTTGCTGTATTTTTTGTCAATGTATAAGGTAAGGTCCCTTTTTAAGCAATAAATATTTTGTTGAATCAAGGTTTATCTTTACATGTCACCAACTTTGTGCTCCAGAGTAGCTAAAACTAAAGTTTCTCTTTATTCGGAAAAAGTTATCCTATAGATTTCCATCCAGTAATGATGATGTTTCCATATGATGGGGTTAGTGATTTTTTTTCTTTGTTTTGGCTTTTTGATCTATTTTAAAACCAATACTTTTTCTACATAGCTTATATATAAAGTTGAATTATGAATCAAGTGTTTCTATGTACCAGGGACTATTCTAAGTGTTTTATATTTATTTAGTCCTCGTAATAACCCTTGCCCTACGTGTTACTAGTATCTATTTCTACTAGTATCTATTTCAAGATGACATGTTAGAAGTACAGAAACATTAGAAATGGCAATAGAGGGCCCTCCCTGGTGGCGCAGGGGGTTAAAGCACAGCACTAAGAAGCTTAAGCCACTTCTGCATGAGTTCAGATCCCCACCTGCCCCGGAGGTGATCCACATGGCGTGGCAGACCTCTCCTGACCCGCCCGCTGCTCCCCTCAGCAGTGTACTTCATGGATCTGCCTGTTCTGCTCCCCACTCTGTCTCTGGTGAATCCTCTCACCCTCCGCATCTCTGGCCTGTACCCCAGTTCTGTATGAATAAATAAATACATCTTTAAAAAAAAAAAAAAAAGAAATGGCAATAGGTTACCCAGAAAGTAAGAGGCAGAGCTGGGATTTGACCTAAAGTCTGGCTCCAGAATTCGTGTTCTTAACCACTGTTTGGTAGTATTTTTACTCGCCACGTTGTCTCTCATTTGCCATATGCTTATATGTGAAATATAGCTTATCTTAAGTAACTTTCTTGAAGTTTTAAGTGTGTTACATTGCCAGACAAATGGTAGAAAATAAATATTTGTGCTTGAGTGAATTAATTAATGACATGATAATAATAATGACATGATAACATTATAATACTCTACATTTACTGCATAATAATGCTTGACTTTAGTAACTCTTCAGTGGAGGTCTAGCATCTATCTAGAGCCTGGATTGGTGATTCTTAAGCAACCTATTATAAAACTGCAAAAATTTGAGCAAAGAAATTATTTAACAAGTCTATTTATAGTCCTAAATTCATTTTTCACTCGCTGGTAAAAAAAAATTCTGTTGACTGCTCAAAAAAGTCTGTGTCTTATTCAGAGTTTTGCCCTTTTTTGGGTCCTTCTGTTAATTTTTTTTTTAATGTTAAAAAAATGTGACTAAGTCAATATTTATTTAAAAAGGCTTAAAAATTTGGGCTATACTGGCCATGATAGTGAAGTGGTATTGAATTTGGTTTCTAAAAATTTTCAACAGTAATGATCTTGAAGTTTGTTTTATTTTATATGTCACTTTCAGAATTCTCCACTTTACCAGTACTTACAGGATCTTGGACACACAGACTTTGAAATATGTTCTTCTCTGTCACAAAAACAAGAAAACAGCACAGCAGCAGATGGACAACAGAAGCATCCTACAACCCTGCCCAAAGTAAGAAAGCATGCACATTTTTACAATTTATTCTTTCATTCTTTTTTTTTTTTTTTTACAGATTTAATTATTTGTGCATACAGAACTAGGGTACAAGCCAGAGGTGCAGGGATGGAGAGAAGACCCCCTAGAGACAGAGTGGGGAACAGAACAGGCTGACTGACTAGGTACACTGCTGAGAGGAGCAGGGAGACAGGAGAGGTCTGCTTGGGGCAGCTAAATTTAGATTTGTTGGGTTACTTAGTTTATTCTAGGGAGATGTGTTTTTAGAATTGCGCTCAAAAATCTGTTCAGTATAGGAAATACCAACTATTTTCTTTTGGAAAACTTTTTTGTAATGAATTCTTGATCACTAGTATTAATTACCTTTTTTAAAAAAAAAGATTTATTTACATATACAGAACTGGGGTACAGGCCAGAGGTGTAGGGGCAGTGAGAGGATTCACCGGAGACAGAGTGGGGAGCAGAACAGCAAATTGACTAAGTACACTGCTGAGGGGAGCAGTGAGTGGGTCAGGAGAGGTCTATGGTGCATTGTGGATCACCTCTGGGGCAGGTATCGAACTCATGCTGAGGTGGCTTTAGCTTCTTAGTGCTGTGCTTTAGCCCTCTGCACCACAAGGGAGGGCCTGCACTAATTACCTTTTTTAAAATGTTTCTTTTTAAATGTGATCATTAAATACTGGTGTTCTTACTATGAATAGTCACTATATTTTTCTAATTTCTTTTCCTATGGTTATTATTAAATGTTCGTTCGGTAAAGTTTTAGCATAAAGTCTCTTGGTTTGTTTTCTCTGAGCATTCTCATGAAATTTCTGGTCCTCACTGGCCACCTGTTTCCATTCTTCATGTACAGTGAGTCCCAGATGCCTTTTTATTTTCTATTCTGTACTAAGCTTTAGAAAACAATAGTTACTCATCTTGTTTTCCATGACCCTTTTTCAATCCCTGGAGTAATAATCAGTGAATGTAAACCCCACTTACTGGCATGTTCATAGAAGATGTTATTAAGGTAATTTTAATTTTTCATTGATTCTATATTAGTTTTATTTTAGTGTGAGACAATTTTTCTAAAATGAATTAAAATACATTTTTATCAGTATTGTGAAATGAATTGTTCTTAATGTTTGAGAATTTGGAGTACTGGTTGGTATTCATTTTGTAGTATCAGGTTGACTTAGATAGTATCTAATGTATCAAAGATAAGGGTACCACATTTGGATAATGTCTGACTGTTTTTTAAAGGTCAGGTTTCATTCCAAACTTAATGAATTAGAGCCTTTAGTTTGGGGGAAAGAATATGTTTCAAACTGAAATCTCCAGGTCATTGTCATATGCAAGTTAATTTGGAAACTAATAAGGAGGTTGAGACAGTGATAAAACATTATCTGAATGATTTTTTCTCTTCCCTTTTCTGTGGTGTGATTTATTAATCCTATATAATATTACTCTTCAGCAAGGTATCCTGTTAAAAGTGGCTGAAACCATCAAAAGTTGGATTTTTTCTCAATGCATTAAGAAAGATGACTTACTTCTCAAGTTGGTAAGTATTCACTTCTTTTTGTCAGTTCAGGCTCTAGTTTATTAGTAAGAAAACCAATTAAGAATTCATTTACTGCTGATCTGGGCAGGGGTTGATTTTTGACTAGAAATTCTGTAATAATTGTGGGCCTTTGAATTTGTACTCATTAATAGTGTTCGTAGCTCTTCTAAGAGTTTTTTAGCTACATAAAATAATATTTAGTAGGGAACGGAACCTGATTTGTTAGATTACTGATCTCCTGTTGCCATCTTTCTCCAAAGCTCTCAGTAGGGAAGGAAATATATTTATTAGTGGAATCTTCTTTTTTGTTAGGAATTTCACTATCTATAGCCTTAGCCTATAGTCTATGATTACAAAGTTTGGGAAAAATCAAATGTAATTTCTCTCTAGTTTATTAATCTACTATTCTGTAATAATATCATTTGTAAAATTTAGTCTGCTGGGACTAATAAATCACAGAATTATCCAGAAACTTGAAATAATTCACACTGAGAATTGTATAAAACTAGACATTAAGAAATTCCTTTTTCTTTCCTTCTCTCTTCTGTAATTATCGGTTGCTTAACTGGTTAACTCCCAAAATGAAATACTTCAACCTTTTACATCCAGGAAATAATAGGAAAATCCAGGTAGTAGAGTTAAGCAATCCTAGTTCTTCCTTTAGGCTTTTATGAATATTGGATCTATTTCTTTCCTACAACAAGCTAGGAATTACCATATTTGCTATGTTCTATAAGTTTTTATATATATGTGCAGAATTGTCTGCTTAATCAGAATTCTGACAAGTTGCTTTATCTCTTTGGACTTCAGTTTTCTCCTCTATGGAATGAAGAAGATAACATTCATCATCGTGTTGACTAAGAATTAACCTATTTGCTTTAACATTATTATCTCATCTTTTACCTCTCCACTATGTGTACTCTGCACAAAATTAATATTGATCACTTGAAATTCCCCAAACTAGAGGGGCCTTTTATTCCCTTCCAGTTCCTCCATCTAGTCAATTCTTGTTCATCCCTTAAGACTCAGCTCAGATGTCACCTTTTCTACTTTCTCTGACTTATTTGTAAGTTTTGTCTCTCTGCCACTTGCGTAATACTGTGTGTATACTTATTATCATTTCTTTGTACATTATGACTCTATACTTTTAAATCCTCTCTATTAAACTATGAGCTCTTTAAGAATAGACAGTTGTTTGTGTTGTTCATTTTTGTTTGTTCTTTGTGTCAAACATGGTACCTAGTATGTATAAGATATACATGGATAAAAGGAGAAGGAATAAAATGCAGTGGTATATGTGAATGCATTTTGTAAAATTCTAAAGTGAATTATACATATCAGTGTGGTTTTTCAGTGATTCCTTCATAATATATTTTTCATATCTAAATGTCCATTTTTAGAAGATTAATCCTGCTGATATAATTCTTAGATTCTTGCTATATTGTTACAGTGCTTATGGGAAAGCATCTTATTTTACGGAATTACAGTTTCCATATTGTATTGCAGTAAATTAATTAGATGGAATTAATCTATACTTCATATATCTTCAAATTTGCATATATAGTATATGTATTTCATACTTGGTGATTCAAGTATGAATCACCACAATCTTAAATGTTTCATATTTATAGTGAAAATAAAATTCCATACATGGTACTTAGGTTAGATTGGACGGTTTTTCCTTCTTCTTGGAGTCTGTATCAAAAGTAAAAACATCTAAATTTTATCAACACGTTAGGAGCTTAGCACTGAATTATGTATTTATTAATACCACTCTTCCAAGGATCTTGGATTCCGACTCGAGACATTAAATACCATCCTACAACAGGAAGTCCTGTTACAAGAGGATGTGGAGCTGATTGAGATACTTGACCCCAGTATCCTGTCTTCAGGGCAACCTCAACAACAGGAAAATGGACATCTTCCAACACTTCGCTCCCTGGCAACCCCTAATATTTGGTATGGTCAGAAAATATTTCTCCTTTGCTTATATATATTGTATTAGCAGAGGAAATCTGTTGTCATGCTCTCTTTTGTAAAGATATTATAAACATTCCATATATGCTGTAATTACATTGTAATTGATGTAACGATATGCTGTAGGTTTTTTTTTTTTAAGTGCCTTCTAAAGTAAGGCACTTACTATATACTATATACAATTTGACATTTTATCCCTACTTTACTCCTATAATTTGACTTTTCTATACTTCCAAGTCAGTATAATTAGTTGTTTTTATTCCTACTTTATTCCTATAATTTGACTTTCCTATACTTCCAAGTCAGTATAATTAGTTGTTTTTATTCCTACTTTATTCCTATAATTTGACTTTCCTATACTTCCAAGTCAGAATAATTAATTCTATTTTTAGCAAGTGCAATTAATGCACATAACTTGGCATTCCCCTCCCCCAAATCTTTCTTACCCTTATACCTCACATGTATGCATGCATACAGGTCTTTCCCATAATCACGTTTTAAAGACACCAAGGAACATATTGGTAAACTTGTCTCTTTCTTTTATGGCAGGGCCTTAAGTAGAAATTCCATATACTAATCTGTTTTGTTTTTAAAGTAGGAAGGTATTAAGGATTGTATTTACAAAACTATTGCATATACAAAACTCTTCCTATGAGCTAAATCATTGCTTGAGCTTTTCAAGTTTACAGGTGGTTGTATTCATTAACTTAAATGTTCTGATTTTCTGTCTTACCTGTCACACTAACAAATGCTTCATAAAATAGATAGCTAAGTGTGATGTTTTCCAAATCTGTAGTCATTCAGGTATCATCACGATGAAGTAAAGCATCTTTAAAAATATAAGAATATAAGAAGTTGCTAAAAGAAATGATAGATCTTAAGAACTTTAAATTTTTAATTTCACATTTCCTTGAGCCACAAAACTCACCAAGCAACCATGAGACCTGTAAATACTTTTAGACTTTGTTGTTAATACATGAAACTAAATGATGAAATTTTACTTTTTATTATTACCCTTATCTAAAACTAAAGAATTCCCAAGGAAATTAGGGCAGACAAATATTTATAAGGAAGTATTATAATGTGATTTATTTTATAGTTTGACTATATCCATCTTAAAGTATTGTTGTTATTATATTTCCAATATCCTAGACATATTTCTGCTACCTTCATCTCTTTCTTACATACACATTTTCATCAAAACTATCGTGCTTGAAAGATGTCTTTCCATTTCTTACATTTGTAATTGGCCTAAAGTAAAAAAATTAGTATATATTTTTAGTTATAGCACTATAAAAGTACAAAGCTGTCCAAATAATGGTCTGTGATATGTGTGTATATTCCAGATAAATGATAATGATTATTTAATTAAATGACTTTATTCAAAATAACTGCTAATTGGATGTATTTATCTCCAATTGGAAAAATGCTTACATTCAAATGTTAAAAATTAGAATTTAAAAATACTTTTTAATATATAAAAGTTTATTTAGGTTAGAGTCCATATTTTATCCAAAAAAAGTCACCTTATTATGTCCACTGCCTAAGTGTATCAGCTCAAAGTTTTAATACCTAAGCAACAGTGTTTGGTTGCCAGCTGTTTTTAAATTATTTACATTACCTATTTAAGTAACATAGTTTTGAAATCATACTTTATAAAGAAACTATCAGGTCTGATGGATATCATTTTTCTTGGTTTCTCTGTTTTAGGGATGTCTCAGTGCTATTTGCCTTCATTAGTTTGCTCATTATGCTTCCCACTTGGTGTATTTTATCTTCCTGGCTGGTATGGGGAACGATTCTCTTAGTTTATCTGATCGTAAAAGCTTTGAGATTATGGAGGACAGCCAAACTACAAGTAACCCTAAAAAAATGCAATGCTCATTTAGAAGACACAGCAGCGAATAGCCGAGCTTTTACTAACCTGGTGAGAAAAGCTTTACGTCTCATCCAAGAAACTGAAGTGATTTCCAGAGGATTTACACTGTGAGTTCATTCTTCATTTTACTTTTTAATAATATTTTCCTACTACATAGTTAAATTAGAACATTTATTACCTACTTCTACATTGCATTTAAAGAAAATGGTTTCTCTTTAGCATTTAGTGAATTTTATTAATTGCTAGGTGAAGGTATAAATACATTATATGCTAGACTTGCTATGTGCTGTTTCTGCTTATTTTGAGAAACTAAAGTAATTTGAGAAATCTTGATCACACTATGTTTATGATTAATTGTGAGATAATAGAGTGCCTAATATGAACCTGGCATGCAATAGTTCCTAAATGTTTGCTTCTTTTATTTCCTGTCAGATGCTCTCTTTCCTCAGTTTAAATTGAGTGAATCTAACATGACCTTATTTTGAAAAATCTTGCCATGTATTATTAATATTTTTTTGGTAAACATTAACAGAATTGATGGCACTGATATTCTCAGAATGTCATATAATGATAATTCATATCACCATGAGAATTAAATAATCAGCAGTCAAGCTATAAATGTATTTAGCTAAAGTATATACAGGCTATTTGCTATATTATTAAAGGGAAAATTACATTTGTTGAACATCAGCAATGTTCTATATTTTATGACAGGCAATTTTGCTTACAACTCATGTAGTAGAGCAAAGGTTCAATCCATTCCACCTGACTCTAAAGTTTGTTTCTAGTATATTAGGTTGCCTACTCCATTAACAGATGATAGCTAACTCTGGAATATTTAACAATTTATATAACATATAACCTTTGCAATCTCTAGCTGGAAGAAAGTAAGTATATAGTGAAGAAAAATTGTTGCTTTAAGTGAGTATGAGTATGTGGCAAATCACTAAAGGGAGAGTAAAAAGAAACTTCTGTAGACATTGCATCCAGACATGCTATTCTGTACTGCCCTAGAGTAATACTTAAATGCTACTGGCATGAAAGCTGTATCAGAAAAATCATAAAAACAGGAAAGTGGAAAATCTCTAGTAGTCATCTCATTCCTTAAACTCTGTTGTGTTCTAGAACATTGTTAAACAATCCCAAGACCACTTTTTAGAGATTTTATGACCACTTTTTCTGTTCAAGTCAAAATGTAATGTTCTCAGTATCTGTTAATTTTGTCCTTCCATTGCCACTGAAGTCAATTTCTCTTTGATAGATCTAGCAGATATTAATTGATGGCCAAATTTTAAACATTAGAGATCACGTAAGAATAAAAACTCCTTTTGTTCTTGATTTGTACAGCATATTATTGAGAGGACTGTTCAAGTGGCTATTTGTCCAATCACCACTTAGGCATGTATAGAGAATTCTGTGTCTTTTGTCATTGCCCAGCTTTCACTCATATTTATAAGATTGTCATGAAAAGCTAAAATGGGCCTAGCAGGCTTGATTTACCTCTGGAGTGTGACTTCTATTTATTTAAATGCAGACAAACAAGAAATGTTAGGGAAAAATTGTGTTTCACTGTCTTCATCAAATCATAATGGACTGTTATAAGGAATATTTTTAAAAATTTAAAATTTTAACTGTATCTTAGTTTAAAATATTTTTAATTTGTTGAAAATTTTCAGAATATGTAGAATAATTTATTAGTTTTTAAAACAGACCCACTTAAAATAGAGCACAAACATAGTAGCATATACTAAAAACATGAGTGCTGTTTTGTTCTGCCTGTTTCTCCTCTCTAGCAAAATAACCCTTCTTTGCTTATTTAACTTATTTCCTTATTTTAAAATAAAACTATCAGTCATTGTCTTCTGCTTTTTTAGATTTTTAATGCCTGAATATATTTTAGTTTGCCTTAATGTTTACACAGCTTTGATTTAGATGTCTTCTTTTACTAATTTTTGGTTATAAGAAATTTATCAATTTCCATATTGGGAGATGTTAAAAAATCCTGTTATCCCATAATTATGTAATATGTAATCATTCATGGTTTCATTTATAAAAGCATAATATATTACATATCGTTGTTCAGAGTAGGCATTCCCCACTCAGCTGTGAACTGTGCTTCCTCTTGAGATTAGCCATGCTCTGACAGAGTAACCTTCCTTTGCCTTTCTACTTGCGTTCCCCTGTTGGCCACTGGTCCTGTTATCTATCTGCATCCCCTACTTCATTTTGAGTAGGTAAGTGCCAGTGGCAGCAGGTGGGTAAGTCATTTTACCCTATTTGGTAAATGTACAGAATGTATTTCTATACAACAGTTGATTGTTCTGTACAGGTAACAAGAATATATAGTCGATAAACATAAAATACATATTAAGGATATGAAAGTGCTTATGATTAAGGCTTTCATACTTGTTGTAGATACAGATTTGAAACATGAAAATAAATAACTCTTATTTTACTTAGTATATTTTAACAGTATATTTAGTACATTTAACAAGTCTGTTTAAAGTGGTGTGATTTCTTCTATAAATATTCCTTCATTTCTGCTGTATTTCAACTCAGATTTATTATTTCTGCATTTCAAAAGAAGTTGAGATTTAAATTTTTCATTTGTTTTTTTTATTGATATATTTCTGCCAACATATCTGTCAGAAAAATAGTTGTTTATGAGACCTTAATTGAATTCTTTATAATTATTTTTAAAGGGAAATCATGAAAAAGAGCCATATTTCTAAGTTAAATATAATTATGGATTTAGGAAACAAAAACTTTAGAACACCTGTACAGTTGTATCACATTTTACTTTTCAAGTTTGCTTGACAGGGTCAGTGCCGCTTGCCCATTTAATAAGGCTGGGCAGCATCCCAGTCAGCATCTCATCGGTCTTCGGAAAGCTGTCTACAGAACTGTAAGAGCAAATTTTCAAGCAGCAAGGCTAGCTACCCTATATATGCTTAAAAAATATCCTTTTCTGTCTATCTGTGAAAATAAGCAATATTTCCAGAGTTCTGGATATAGATATTATAGTAACACCCTGTAAAAATTAACTATGAACTTAGCTTGCTTGTTTGAAGCTAAATTCCATTATCACTTCTATTTTAAAACTGGAAATGCATTCCATAGGGAATGGCAATAAGAAGCAGGAAGAAAGTTCTTCTGCTTTCATGCGGCTCACTTTTAAAAGGAAAATTCCTGAAGCTCCCTCTCTTTAACAGGTCTAAATATGAAATCTAAATAACCTGGCTTGGCTAGATTAACATTTTTAAAAATTTCAAGCATGGTAAATTTTCACTATGATATGGCAATGAGTAGCAGGAAATCCTCCCTTTCAAAAAAGCAAAGGCAGCTCTAGAGTCTAATTGGCTAAGTTAAAATTTAAGCTGTATCACTTAAGCAAGTGTCTTAGTTCTCTGTACCATAAGCAAATTTCTTAACTCACTGTACTTTGCATTTTTCACTTTAAAAAATGGCAATAGAATAATTCTATATTTCTATTGCAGTCAAATAACTTATAAAGTACTTAGACAATGTCTGGTGTATAGTAAGCTCTGAAAAGCAGAATGGCTAGTCTTTCACTTAAATGTACTAAATCAGAAAATTAGTTATGTTGGTCTTTATTTTAGTTAAGACTTGTAGATAAATCGTGAGTAAATGGAATGTAAAGTAGTTCTACTTTGCACCTCAGTGTGCTGGGTACTAATACATACAATGCTTGCAATGTACAGAATGCTTTAAGTTCTGTTATTATATGCTTATACATGTCTTTCCAGTTAGATTATCTTCACTTTAGAAAACTAAAAACCTCTACTTTGTGATTTGCTTAATGTCACACAACTGGTTAAAGGTGAAGTTGTTTCTTAACTACAGTACTTACAACTTAAATACTTATTTCAGACCATATAAAATGTTAGAACACTTTATATCACCATTTTATTTAGCAAGATAATGTAACCTCAGCACCAAAACGTGACATAAGAAATTAAAACTATAGACCAATCTCACAAATGTTGATACAGAATATTTAGAATCTAGATTGAGTCTAGCACTGTATCAAAAGCTGATTACAATATGACCAAACAGAAATATTCTTGAAAGGTGAGAGAACAGTTCAGTAGAAGAATTGTTTGGATGTCATTCCTTACAAAAACAATTAGGGAGGGAAGTCACACATTAAAATTTATAGAAGCCCATGGGGAAGAGGATTAAGAAGCAAAACAGTAGCCTGTTTTAAAGAACGAGACAGAGCAGGCTTAGTGCAACTTAGTCAGTGCACTCAAGGAAATAGCTGAAGGAGGAAAAGAAAAGATCCTGTAGTAGGTGAAGGCTTGAGCCATGGCACCATGAGTAGACAATACAGTTTCAAAAAGAATATGGGAGAAATAACTACATTGGTACTTTAGCACTTGTGAAGACTCGATCTTTTAAGTTTATTGGATAGAAATTTTTTTCAAAAATATCCTGTAAAATATGGGCAGTGTTATGTTAATATTTAGTTTTAAGATGAGTTTCTTTTTTTTTTTTTTTTAAGAAATTGGTATCAATCTCCAGTCATAGTTCAGAATAAAGATTAATAAAGGTGATTTGAGCAGTTTTACTCTACTTTTATGTTTTAATGAAAAGACTTTGTTGATTGCCTTAACCTAATTTAACCTACCCCCTGAACTCTGAGAGTGACAATGTAACCAACTACATCTGTGTGGTACCTTTCAAAGAGCTGGGCCTTGGACTTAGTGAAGAACAGATTTCAGAGGAAGAGGCACATAACCTTACAGATGGCTTCAGCCTACCTGCATTGAAGGTAATCCATTTGTGGAAGGGAAGAGCTGAAATAGAGATGCCTTGGATTGCACCTGTGCTTTCTTTTCTTTACTTTTCTTTATTATTTTATTTATTTATTACATCATTCTTCATTTTGTGCATTTTTTCATCTTGGTTGTAATCCCACCACCAATGGACTTCCCACCACCAATTCACCTGTGTGCAATCCCCACAGTCCTGTGCACTCTTCCCACCCCAATTTTGATCCTATTCCCGCATAAAATGTCTGTGGTTTATCGCTGTTTTTTGTCTTTATTACAATTGCTTTATTGTTTTTCCTGATCCCTTACTCTCCTGGTGAGTGAAACCATCAGGTATTTTTCTTTTTCTTTCCGGGTTATTTCACTGAGCATGATCCCTTCCATACCATCCATGTTGCTGCAAAAGGCATGAGTTTATCTTTTTTGATTGCTGAGTACTAGTCCATTATGTGTATGTACCACATCTTTGTAATCCAGTCATCTACTTTTGGGCATTTGGGTTGATTCCATGTCTTCCTATTGTAAATGGAGCAGCAATGAACATGGGGGTGCAGGTGTCCTTTTGAATCAGTGTTCTTTTGTCCTGTGGGTAGATACCGAGGAGTAGGATTGCTGGATCATATGGAAGCTCCATTTTTAGCAGTTTGAGAAACCTCCGAACAGCTTTCTGTAGTAGTTGTACCAGTTTGCATTCCCACCAGCAGTATAGAAGAGTTCCTTTCCACATCCTTGCCAACATTTGTTGTTGCTAGTTGTTTTAAGATGGGTCATTCTCACTGGTGTAAAATGTATCTCATTGTGTTTTCAATTTGCATTTCCCTTATTACAAGTGATGTTGAATATTTTTTCACATTAGTTGGCCATCTGCATTTTCTCTTTGGAGAAGTGTCTTTTTAGTTCTTCTGCCCATTCTTTGATGGGGTTGGGGGTTGTTCATTTTAATTTTGTTGAGTTTCATCAGTTCTTTGTAAATCTTTGTGATCAGCCCTTTGTCATTAGTATTGTGTGTGTCATTAGTATTGTGATCAGCCCTCTGTCATTAGTATTGTGAACTTTGTCAAATGCCTTCTCTGCATCTATTGATATGATTATATGGTTTTTATTTTTCTGTCAGTTGATGTGATGGATTACATTAACTGATTTTCAGATGTGGAATCATCCTTGTGCCCCTGTAATAAAGCCCAGTGGCTAGGGGTTTGCCTATTTTGTTTACTTTTTCAAATTGTTTTAACATATTGTTGGATTCTTTTGGCTAAGATTTTATCGGGGATTTTTGCATCAGTGTTTATTAGGGAGATTGATCTGAAGTTTTCTTTTTTTGTCTTGTCTTTGTTAGGTTTTGTAATTAGTGTGATGTTGGCGATGTTGGCTTTGTAGAAAGTATTTGGTAGTTTCCTTCTTTCTCCATTTCTTTTTAATGAGCTTGTGCAGAACAGGCACTAGTTTCTGAACATTTGGTAAAATTCATTTGTAAATCCATCTGATCCAGGGCTTTTATTCTTGGGGAGGGTTTTAATTACTACTCAATTTTACTGCTTGTAATTGGCCTGTTTGGTTGTTCTATTTCTGCTTTATCTAGCTTTGGATGATTGTAGAGTTGTAGGAATTTGTCCATCTCTTCTAGATTGTTGAACTTGTTTGCATATAGCTATTCATTGTATTCTCTGATTCTTTTGATTTCTGTTATATCTTTTGTGATTCCTCCTTTCACATGATCCTGTTTGTTTGTGCTTTTTCTTGTTTTTTTCCTTGTGAGTCTGGCTAGGGGTTTGCCTATTCTGTTTACTTTTTCAAAGAACCAAATTATGGTTTCTTTGATTTTTTTTTTCTCCTAACTTCTATTTCATTTATTTCTTCTTTGACTTACATTATTTCCCATCTTCTACTGGTTTTTGGGTTATTTTGTTGCTCTTTTTCTAGTACTTTAAGGTGGAAGATTGGGTTGCTTCTTCTTTCTTTATGTGAGCCTGTATTGCTATATATTTTCCTCTTATAACTGCTTTTAATGTGTCCCATAAGTTTTCAAGAATTGTGTCCTGATCGTCGTTCTCTTTTTAAATTTCTTTCTGCACCTGTGCTTTCTGATCATTCCTAGGTACTGTGTCTTCAACAGTTTGAAATTTTTTTTAAGATTTATTTATGCATACAGAACCAGGGTACAGGTCAGAGGTGCAGGGGCAGTGAAAAGATTCACCAGAGACAGAGTGGGGAGCAGAGCAAGCAGAAAGATGAAGTACACTGCTGAGGGGAGCAGCGGCGGGTCAGGAGAGGTCTGCGGCACCATGTGTTTCACCTCCCTGGCCAAGGATCGAACTTGCGCTGAAACAACTGTGTGCGCACTTCACAGTGCTGCACTTTAACCTGTTGCACCACCAGGGAGGGCCCCAGTTTGCAATTTTGGCCTTGCTCAGAAAAAAAAATAAGTCAATGGTAAACTGGGTTCATATTGAATTATTTTGATTCAGTATTTGCATTCTTTTATAATTCCTTCAATTAAACTTTAAAGAATGTCCATTTTCATGATTGTAAAAAGTTGAATCCAATGTCACCAAAGTAGTTCTATCCTTTTTTGTTGTCTGCTACCTCTTGTTCATACTAGCTTGTTTTTTTGTGGTTTGTTTGGGGAATATATTCCTCATCTTAAACAGGACTACATCTGGGGAAATCTTTCCTTGTCTGGAGTCAGGGTGTGTCTGTCAGTAATGGGTTTTACATTTTCTCATGCCAGACATTCCCAGTTATAATCACCTGTGACTGATTTTTATGTTAATTTCCTTAACTAAAGTATTGAAATCATTCTGTATCCATCAATAACTCATGTATTTGGACTCACATAGGTCCATCATTCATACTGTCTCTTCTCCTATTTAAGGGTTTTTAAGTCATCAAGGAACAGTCTCCTCTATTAGATGTGTCCTGCTCTATCAGCACGTCCCTTCTGGGGTAGAACTGCGTTAAATCACCTACTGGTATTAACCTGCTATTTTGGAATCAGAGGTTTCCAAGTACCTTAACTACATAATTTGATTAACATTCTTGGCTCAATTTTAAGATTCAATCAAAGCAGGCTGTATTCATTTTGTAAAATAAAGTGAAAATTTTAAACCAAACAAATTTGTAGTTTGTTTTAAAGATTGACCATTTTTTATTGATTTAGTACTTTTTTTTTTTTTTTTTTAGGTTTTGTTCCAACTCTGGGTGGCACAAAGTTCAGAGTTCTTCAGACGATTAGCCCTATTATTTTCTACAGCTAATTCACCTTCTGAACCCTTACTTGCTCCAGCACTTTTGCCTCATCATATTTTATCTGATGTGACTCAAGGTCTACCTCATGCTCATTCTGCCTGCTTGGAAGAGCTTAAGCGCAGCTATGAGTTCTATCGGTACTTTGAAACTCAGCATCAATCAGTACCCCAGCGTTTATCTAAAACTCAGCAGAAATCAAGAGAACTGAATAATGTTCACACTGCAGTACGCAGCTTGCAGCTTCATCTGAAAGCACTACTGAACGAGTAAGTTTAGAAGCCATCTAAGGAAATATCCCCATGCTAGCAAACTTCACTCTTGTCCCGTGTGGTTATTGGCTTGTGTCCTAGACTAGAAAAGAAGATGCAAAATGAGACCTGCAGTATAAAGGACAGTTTATGATATGAATGTAGCAGAAAAATAATGATTTGTAAATACTATAATTTGGGGGAGTCATTATAGTTTTTAATTTTCCTGATAAATCACGACACCTAGAAAAAGAGGAAAAGCTGATGTTTACTGTGTAGATGAACTGAAATGAAGAAAGTTAAAAAGAATGAGCTGCCTTTTAATTCTTTTAAAAGGAATCTGAAAGAAATATCAGTGTCTGTAAGAAATATGTCAGTGCAGAATAGTAAGTTATGAGAGGTACTAGAAAATTAATGTGCTATTTTTCTAAATATATTACAGCAGATTTGGGCTTTGTTTTTTTGTTTGTTTGTTTGTTTGTTTGTTTTTGTAGAACAGTATAAGCTTTTGGGCTTCAATTGAAGATTAAAATGGAGAATCCAGATTTTAAATTTGTTGCTTTTCTACTTTGCCTGGTATTGTTGGTCCTCCAATCTTCTATGTTCCACTTTGGTATACCTTTATCACTTGAAAATACTGTTTTCTATTTGAAAATTTTCAAGTTTAAAAATTGTGTCAGGACATAATGTTTGAATTAACTTATTTCTAAAGAAATCCTTGTCCAGCAAATTCTCATAGTACAGGGCTAGGTAAAAAAATAATGGGTTCATGTTGTGTTGGTAATCCAAATTTAATTAGCTGATAAGTTCATGTACCTGACTCCAGACACCAGGCAAGAAGTGGAAGGGAGAGAGCAGCAATCAATTTTGAAGATAAGAAAATAGGCCAGAAGGATTTGGAGTCTCAGAAAATCAAAAGTCTAGTTTACTAGAGTGAAGAAGAATGTAATGTACAAGAAATGGAAATTAAAGTCAGCAAAGCATTTTGAGAAGTATTTTTCTTCCCAGTGTTATCAATTTTATTATGTAATTGTCAATCTATCAGAAAGACAAAGTCTCCAACCACTGGGGAACTAGTTCTCGGCGTTTTTGGAAGGCAGCTATGCTCCCCACTGTGCCACCAATGTGCCTACTTCTTGGCTTTTTTTGAGAGTAAGGTGTTTTTGGTCCTAAGGTGTTCTTTGGTCTCAAGTAACAAGTCCAAATTTTTTTATTATTGAGTATAAACAAAACAAAAAAATGGGTAGAATTATTCAAGTAAATAGCTTTTCTAATATCCTATATTTTTCACTCTAAACTGTCACTTTATTTGACTTTCTCTACACTTTGAAAAGATTCCCAGAGTTGCTCTTGAGAATAAGCCTCATCACTTAAAACTTGGCCTGGCAGGTAGGGTGCCCTGTCCTGAAGTTGAGTTGTGGATAGTATTGGGAAACATGGGGGGGGGGGGGCTACAAATCTGTAGCCTCAGTCAGAAGAAACTGTCCCTCTCTCACTCTAGGGGAGCTCCCTCTGACTGATTGAGAGCTATATCAGAAATATGTACAGGGAAAAGGATTCAGTCCCACCCAAGTGTTCTCCTTCCAAATCTAAAAGGTCTCCAGTGACCCTCCATCTTACACACATCTTATCCGACATGCTGTGTTTCTTCTCTTGTTAAATATCAGGTGCCCTGGAGATGCATGTAGAAGTGGCACCACCCATTGAGTCCTGCAGGACCTTTAGAATTGCTCAGCTCGTTCATGTTAGGGTCCACCTCTGTCTTGCTCCTGTCAGAGGAAGGAAGAACCTAGGGAAGATGTTAAGTCAGTAGTCCAAAGGTAAAAGACACCAAATTTTTCAGTTTACCTGCCTACTTATGCCAGGTTCTCCCACAATAAGTTAAAGTGTATGGATGCAATCCAGTCTTAGATCAAATCTGACAAAAAGCCTACGGAGTAGGCCATATTCTGCCCAATTTGCTTCCTTTTCCACTCCTTTTGGTACTTCACAGAGCTCTTCACTACTGAGGTCCGAGTTCTCCCTGTCCGAATGGGAGTACCTTCTTCTGCAACAAGGAAGCAACCTTCTTCAGAGAAGGATTTCATTGTGAAATGGAAAAGCTTCAGGAAAAGGGAATACCTAGTCAACCAAGCACTTGGAGCAGGTGGTAATTAGCTGAGAAGTTGTTATCCATCAAGTCTAGGTCTGAGATTGTCTGACAAAAATTAAGGAACTGTTCCAGTGGTCTGTACTGCTGAAGGCAGGTGAATACTAACCTGAATCTTAACTCTGTCTCCCACAGGAAATCAGGAGATAAGGCAATCTCCACTGGAGTGGGTGGCAAAGGTTGGTTCATCATCAGAGGAAAACAAGATTTCAGTGGAAAAGTTGTGGGAGACAAAGCTAGTTTCTAAAGAATTAATGTTTAGCAATAGAATCAGAAATAGGACATATTGGAGTACATTAGAACGAGGGAAAATGACTCAGAGAAGAAAGAGCACTTCACTGCATGGATATGGGAATGAAAAGAGGTGCTTTGTACTTTGAGTAGATTGTGGTTTATACATGGGAAGTGTATTTCCTCTAAAAAAATAAATATGGGGGGAGGGCAAAAAGTACATCTATGCTGTTACATATTACCTTTCTAGAAAGTATACAGTAACAAACTATCAAGTCTTATTTGCTTTACAGCATTATAATACAACTTATAATACTGTTATCTAAAACGTTGTTTTGTTTCTCACATTTCAGAAGCCTTTTGTATTTCATTCCTCCTTTGGCTTGTCTCCTTTCCTACTCCCACTCTCACATGCCTACAGTCACCCTTAGCTTTTCCTTCCAGAGTTCTTGTTGCCAGATTATTGTTACTAATAAATTTGTTCTCTCTTTTACCTGAAAATCTTCGCTGGTTTCTGACTACAGCAATTTAAAGACAGTATAAAACGTTCTATAGGGCCCTCCCTGGGGGTGCAGCAGGTTAAAGCACAGCACTAAGAAGCTAAAGCCACCTCAGCATGAGTTCGATCCCCGCCCGCCCAGGAGGTGATCCCATATGGCGCGGCAGACCTCTCCTGACCCACCCGCTGCTCCCCCTTAGCAGTGTACTTTGTCAGTCGACCTGTTCTGCTCCCCGCTCTGTCTCTGGTGAATCCTCTCACCACCCCTGTACCTCTGGCCTGTACCCCAGTTCTGTATGCATAAATAAGTAAATCTTTAAATAAAAAAAATAATAATAAGATTCTATAGAAAGGATTTTTGGTAACCCAACTACAGTCTGCTTTTTCTATCTTTATTTCTCACTCCTTTCCTTCAACTGTGCCAGGCTATATACACTTCTGCCCCTTTTTATCTGGAATTGACCTTTTATACTTCTTCAAATTTTATCCATTTTTCAGTACCACTTCAACCACTTCTTAGTTATTTACTGTCTGTGTCCATAGCTAGTAGTAACTTCTCTTCTGAATTCCCAACATTATCTGTGTCTCTCTGTGATATTATACTACTGCACCTGGATTCAGGCTAGCTCTGCAGTTTACCAGCTGTATAACTCTGGGCAAGTTTCTTCAATTCTCTGGGCCTAATTCCTCAGCTATAAAATGGAAATGTTAGTTACAGTAATGTTTTATGATACTGTATTTGGGTTTTTTTGCTTGTTGTTTCTTTATAGTACTGAATTTATCTGTGTTATAAGTTTTTTTTAATGGGAGATGGGTTCAGTGTATCCTTTCAGTTCATAAAATGCCTGGCATGGATGTAAGAAATATTTGTTGAAAATACGATACTTGTTATAAGCTTTTTAAAATAATGGTAAAGTACATATATGTACAATATAATGTTTAACCATTTTTAAGTTGTAATTCAATGGTAGTAATTACATAAACATTGCTATGCAGCAGTCACTACCTTTCACTCAGAACTATGTTTATCTTATAAGTTTATTTCTTAAATAGGTCTTGTGAATGATAAATTTTCCATTTTTAGAAGTCTGTTTTTGTTGTTTATTACTCAGGGTAATAATTCTTGAAGATGAACTTGAAAAGCTTGTTTGTACTAAAGAAACACAAGAACTAGTGTCAGAGACTTATCAGATCCTAGAACAGAAATTAAAGTTGATTCAACCCCATGTTCAAGCTAGCAACAGTTGCTGGGAAGAGGCCATTTCTCAAGTGGACAAATTGCTACGAAGAAATGCAGATAAAAAAGGTAATGACACGGGATTATGGTGATGGCACACGGGTGACTTGGTGATGGGAAACCCACTGGGATTACAATTAAGATGGAAAAAAAATGTACAAAATGATGTAAAAATAAACTTTTGTAAAAAAAAAGGTAATGAAGATTTCTTACACATTTATCAGACAATCTTATTCCATTCAATGGAGTTTTAATTTATAGGTTTTTACTAGGTGGATTTCTTTATCTCTATATTGATGCTAATTTCACAGCTTACTAAAAAAAAAAAAGTTGAACTTATATTTACAAATTGACATAATATAGCCTTGGCTTTTATTTTGTAATTTATTTGAAAGTTTAGTGAATCATAAATCTTTTTATGGTATTTAAATGGAGAGCAGGATTTTTATTTATTTTTAAAGATTTATTTATACATAGAAGTGGGGTATAGGCTAGAGGTGTTGGGGGTGAGAGGGTTCACCAGAGAGAATGGGGAGCAGAACAGGCAGGTTGACTGAAATACACTGCTGAGGGGAGCAGCGGGTGAGATAGGAGAGGTCTGCTGAGCTATGTGGGTCACCTTGCTGGCCAGGAATGGAACTCTTGTTGCAGTGGCTGCTGATAGCTTCATAGTGTGCTCATTGCACCACCAGGGAGAGCCCAAGAGCAGGATTTTAAAATATGACTTCATTGTTAGAACTTCCAGAAATTCTTTTCCAATTAGGGTAATAATAATGACTTTGGTGTTCAGGGACTAGAAACTAAGTTTTGCTTTCAAAATAAAATACTTATTTTTTTCAGTCATTCAGAAACAATATACAAATGATATAGTAGGTAGTATTCTACCCATATTTGTTACGAAGGGTCTCAAATGGGGCCTCCTTGGTAGCCTACCAGTTAAAGTCAAGCAATATCACTGCTAGGGCCTGAATTTGATCCCACATCAGGGAACAGACCTCTCCTATCTTGCCTGCTGCTCCCCTTAGCAGTGTTTTTCAGTGAAATCTGCCTGTTCTGCTCTCTCACTCTGTCTCTAATGAATCATCTCACTCCTTGCACCTCTGGCCTATACCCCAGTTCTTCTAGGCAAAAACAAATAAAAAATAAAAAAGGGTCTCAATGTATTGAATGTCACTATTTAATCATAATATCAGACGGCCTTGTATTACTAAGTAAAAAAGCTTTCCACTAAACCACTTTCATTAAGTAGGCTTCATTCTTCTTTTTACATCACTAAATTTAATTGTAAATGTTCAGCATATAGTTTTGTGCTAGAAACCAACATCATTACCATGTTTAACCCTTGAACCATTCTTAGGAAGTTAGTCAGATTTAAGCATAGAAATATATTAATTGTACTATTTTAATTACTTTTATAACTTAATATTACATAGTAGTTTCTTGGCCTAATCCCACTAGTTTTGTCCAGATCTCTTGTTAAGTAGAGACAATGTTGAAAAGTTGGTGGCTAAATATGAGTCTTAAATAACCCTATGATTCGTTTTCAACAGCAATTTTAAATGATCAGTGTTAAACCCACTGGGTGATCTTTGCAAGCTATTTACTTATAAAAGCCACTTCCAGTTCTATTTTCTAAAAGTAAAAATAGTGTAAATGCAAGACTGACATTTGGTTGGTTGTTTTTGTGAAGAACAACAGTAGTCTATCTTGAGGAGCTAGGAGCTTGTTTATTAATTATTTCAGGCTGTCTACCATGTGCCAGAGAAAAGCTCATCTTTGCCTCCAAAAGTTTACATTTTAAATCTATTGGTATTAATTATTAACTATAATATCCATAATTTGTTTTATAAATTGAAAGAATCATAGCAACTTGAACTATGAAATTGGCAAAAAAAAAAATGTCAATTATTTCTGTGTGGCCTATTTCTTTTTCAGGTAAGACTGAAGAAGCATGTAAAAATCCACGTTTTGCTATAGTACCTTCAATGCAGCCTACTCTCCACATTGCAGACAAAGATCCAATCCCTGAGGAACAGGTAAAGTGAAATTGCCCCCCCCCCAGTCTACCTACATTTTTCTGTGACATAGATAATTGTTGAATAAGTTGCTAACTATGTTTATAAGCTTAAAATTACAATATATATTGTATATATATTGAATTTATACCAATTATTATTTCTTAGTGCCTTGAATTTGAATCTCTCAGCATATTTTCTTATTGTTTATATCTAATTCTCTGTTTGTTAATACTTTTAAAAGTAAGCACATTAAAAAGTAATGCACTGGGTCCTTTTGGAGTCCTGGGGATATTTTATAGTGACCTGAGTTACCAGTGATTACCAGTATAACCACTACTCAGGTCCCTATAAAATATCCTATTCTCTGAGTGCAGATGGAGATCCATAGTTGAAGTATTCAATCCATACCATAAATGAGGTATCCCCAAGGGTACCCCTAGGAATAGGTTCAAATTTCTGAAGTGAAAGGTAAAAACCTCAAATCTCAACCACAACATAAACAATTCAGCACCTCCCTTAATCACCAGCCCTGATAATTTTAATTGTTGGTAACAGAAATAATGACTAATTTTGACTAGATTTTAGGATGGCATCATGTTAGAAAAATAACCATTGAAGTTGTGTTTCGATGTTTCACTCCATTTCTATGCTTTTTGTATTAAGATTTTTTTAAAGATTTTGCTTTTTCTCTAGGTATATGCTGGCTTTGTTTCCCAGCTATACTTCAATAACCTGTGCAAAATGCCTCACTTATTTAATCTCATAGATGGGTAGGTGGTTCATTACGTGAATGTTAATAGAAAATTGTCTGCTTGAAGTAAAGTACCTTTTTTTTTATTCATTTTCAGGAATTAGAGGCTTATGTAGATGATATAGATATGGATAATGATTTCAGAAGGGATGACTATTATTTGTCACAAGAAGATAGAGAAAGACAGAAGCGTGAGCAAGAAGAATCTAAAAGAGTACTGCAAGAATTAAAATCCGTGCTGGGATTTAAAGCATCTGAGACAGAAAGGCAGAAGTGGAAGCAACTTCTATTTAGTGATCATGGTAAGTGCTGACTTAAGACTAAAATAGTACTCCAATGTAAGGGTTTCTTTATTCTCCAACTATGGGTCTTATTTTAGCTATAGATTTCTTATGGCTTTAATTTTAGGGTTCTATCACTAAATAGTAGCACTCTTCCAACCCCAAAATCAGTTTGATCAATAAAAGAATAGTATGTAATCAAATTGTAAACAAAATCCCACCTTTTCATCAGTTATTTGATTTTTTTTATTTAATTTGCCATGGAATGACAGTGAATGAAATAATTTGGAGTATTTTAAATAAAATGTTTTTTTCACCTGCCCCTTTCTATTATTGATATGTATTACAGTTATCTGGTTATCTTTAGCTTTGTTCTGCTAAAAGTTAGTTGTGAATATTTAAAGGGGAGGCAAGTCAGGCCCTGTTGCTATCTTGCCAGCCTCTTAAAATGGTGTTTTAAAATGTGAATTTGATATTCTAAACTGTCCTTTTGATGCTGATATTATAAAACACATTATGACAAACAAAATTAATCACTTTTCACTATTGAAACAAATGAATTAAGACCACTTAGCTACATCATTAAGGAAGCTTAATTGACTTGAGCACTTTAGTAGAAGGGAGAAGAAGAGATGCTTCTGTGCACATTGTCTCCATAGTTAGATCTGGACAAAGTCAGGTGACTCTTCTGTGTCTTCCAGTCTTTTCTTTAGCTGAACTTTACAGGAGGCAGGGCAAAGAAGATAATGTCAAACCAACTAATCCTAGTGGAACCATTAATTCTTGTGTAATTCTTGAGAAAATAGAAAGGAATTTCTCTTCCATTTTAGAATATATGTGGTATCTCAAAAATAACTGCCTTCTCTTATTCAGTAGAAATATATAGATAACATATTACTTCTAGAAAGTTCTTCAGGGTTCTCTTTTCTTCCTTTAGGAGCCCTACCACTCTGTTTTGTTCACATCTACATCCTTGATTTTATCCTCCTCCTTTCTTCCCAGGTCCTTCAATTAGATTATGCTCAGATATTATGATGGCCTGTCAGGTGATTTGTTTTTAATATCTTTGTCTTCTAAGCTATCCTTAGATAGCTTCTAGTCTTGAGATTTCCTTCCAGATTTAACATTGCTTTGATAATTGCTCTATCTTTACAACTTACTGTGATTCATCCCTTTTATTATATTAAAATAAACTCCTTTTCATGGTTTCAGCCCTATTATATGTGTCCATTGTATCCATTTATATTTCCCCTTATCTCTAGTATCTTTTAGTTGTTTTTATTTAACTAGACTTCTATGCTACGAACTTGCTGTTTTTATTCACAGGTTGCTGACCCCTCTACTAAGAATTCTTTCTCCCCCATCAAACTGTTATCCCTACCAGTCTCTCCTCCAGGATTCCTCCTCTCTGACTGCTGTCGTGCCAGCTCTCCTGCCACTCAGACCCTCACACAAGGTCACTGTAGTGAAATGAAAAGCAGTCTTGAGGAACAAGGCATATAGTTAAGAGCTTCTGAGGTCATAGTAGTTTCTACAACCTGCGCATTCATACATTGACCCTACATAAATCAGGCTCTTTTGCTTTCTATGTGTAATTTTTTTCAATCTCTGTTATTAAATGAAAATCTCATAAATCAGGGTTTTATTAGTCCACATAGAATTCATTCAGCAAACTTCTTTCAACAAGTTCTCTGAAGCACCATTTAGTGGTGTATCTTTTGTTTAAGATGTATTTGTTTATGCATATGAGAGCTGGGATGTAGTGGTGATAGGATTCACCAGAGACCCAGAGGAGAGCAGAGCAGGCATATTGATTGAAATACACTGCTGAGGGGAGCAATGGGAGAGACAGGAGAGGTCTGCCGCACCATGTGGGTTAGCTCCCAGGCTGGGGATTGAACTTGTGCTGCATTGGCTGTGGGTTACTTCATAGTACAGAGACTTAACCCCTTGTACCACTAGGGAGTCCTTGTTAGTGGTATATATCCTTAGCACATAGATCAATAGACAAAAATCCCTACATTACTACAGGCCCACTTTACAGATTAGACCACCTTATTAGCAATAATCAGGAATATCAACTGCTAACATAAATTGTATTCTTTAAGGACTTACACATTTGTAAACTACAAATGTACAGGAATACCAAAAATAGCATTGTATATAAATATTTCTTTTCATTGTTTGTTTTACTCAGATAGCTTTAAAGTTACCCTTTGAAAGAATGGGCAAAGATACAATAATGAGAGAAATGTATTTTTTTCCAGGTATGTGCTTTTCCTAGTATACAAATGAAAGGGCAGTGATGCTGTCAGTTTGTGGAAATGAGTAAAAAGCTGCTGATACCATAAAATGCTTTTCCCATGAAAATTTTCAGTACATCTTCCAGAGTTGTTTTCATCTCTGCCTACAGGGGTAAAGTCCGAATGGAATTAGAGAGGGAAATTCTACACTGGAACCTGCTGTGGCCATATTTTTCTGCTTCTCTAGTGGAGTTACTGCAGCTTAGGGATCTGTTTCTTGGAAATGGACACATTTTACAAAATTATTTTTTAAGTAAACGCCAGATCTTCAAGAAGCACTTTTTTCCTTCTGCCATGCTTCATAATATATTGCATTGTACTAACCCCTCATGCTGGGAGGAGAGACTGCCTAGCAAGCAACCCACTGCCTACTAACATCAAGAGGGGCTAAATAAAACTTCATTTTCCTTGAAAGGACAACTTCTGCCGTATGCATAAAAATACTACATTTACATATCATGCTTTGTATTGTAGTTGGTCTTGAATGCAGATTTTATTTCATTTGATATTTTTCTGTGCCATTACAAAATGTATACAAAAATCAGCTTTACTCTCATCACCATCTTGTTAGGTAGTTGGCAAGTAAGTTATATTTGTATATTACGCTATTTTCCCATGCTGTTTTAACTTGTAAACATATGTGTTAAAGATATGATTATGCTCTGGATTACTTTAGGCCTTTTATATGACACTTTAACATGCTACTGCTTACTCTTTAATATTATAGTTATTATATTAATAACTGCTTATTCTTCATGCTGCTGCTTATTCTATACTATAATGATTTTCAAGCTTTAGTGTGCATCAGAATCAAATAGAGGACTTTCAGAGCATAGTTGATCCCCACTTTCAGTTTTCAACTTAATAAATTGGGGGTAGGCCCTGCAGTTTATATTTCTTCCAAATTCCTGGGTGATGCTGACCGATTCCATTGGTTTGTGGAGTACTTTGAGAATCACTGCTGTAATTTTTGAAAAGAGAATGTGTGGGATGTTTTTAAATAATCATCAAAACCACACCTCATTTCTTAGGCATTTTATCTCAAGGTTTTCTGGATGGATAAATCTATACCGATTTTACTAGAAAATTTTATTTAGCTTTTCCTTATTTATGTTCCTTATAAGAAAATAACTATTGGAGGTTTAAAGTTTAAATCATTTCTGGGTCCTTAGTTATTATTTTTCTTTCTTTTTTTTTTCTTTTTTTCCTTTTCTTTTGAAGCTGTGTTGAAATCCTTGTCTCCTGTAGACCCAGTGGAACCAATAAGTAATTCAAAGCCATCAGTGGATTCAGATTTGGGGAAAGTTGGTAAAAATGATACTGAAGAGGAAAATAGTAAACCCTCCACAACTGACAATGAAATAAATAATAGGACTGAGTATTTATGTGAAACCCCTCTAGAAGGTAAAAGTAAAGACAATTCTGCAAATAAAGTCTTCCTCCAAGAAAATGAAGAAAGAGTGTGTTACCATTGTGAGAGTGAAGAGGAATCTCAGCAGGCAGATGTAGATGGCCTGGCCATTGCCCATCCTACTCCCAGGGATTCATTACAGCCCTCCATTAAGCAGAGGCTGGCACGGCTACAACTGTCACCGGATTTTACCTTCACTGCTGGCCTGGCTGCAGAAGTGGCTGCTAGATCTCTCTCCTTTACCACCATGCAGGAACAGACTTTTGGTGATGAGGAGGAAGAACAAATAATACAAGAAAATAAAAATGAGGTAGAAGAAAAGTAAAAACCAAGATTCACATGAGGATTTTAAATTTAATAATTCTTTTATGAATGTGTTTTAGCTTCAAGCTAGCTACTCCACTGGAAAAGGAAATGAGTTTACATTTGCTCCATATAAGGCTAAGATGTGACTTTACATCAGTTTGAGCAACAGGTCTGAAATTAGTAGTTTCCTATAAGTGGCAGAAATTGTAGGAAATAACAGAAAGGTAAGGGCTCTCTTGAATTAACTGCTCTCTTAGTTGCAGCACAACTGATTGATCTCAGAAAGTCTTTAAGTACTTTTCATAAGAAATGAATTCATCATTTCTTACCAGAATTTACTACCATGAAATGTCTGGGATAATTCCGTTGCAAGAACATTTAATATGACTCCTTTGTACTGTATTCTTGCAGTTAATAACTGCAGCTATTATGTCAATAACAAGTTGTTTGTATTTTATTTTTGTTTATACCAACCTTAAAGATACAGGTTCTAAATAAAAACTTGAGTTCATACAATTCATGTGTGCTGGGGTTTGGAACTAAAAGCTAGTTTCAAAAATACTTGAGTCATGACATATTTTTTATGACTTCTTGTGGATGTGTACATTGAGCAGTTTTTTTAGATGTCTTTTTAGATGACCTTTACAAGAAAAAAAATTGTACTATTTTAAGAATTACCTTTTCAATTTTTTTGGTTACATCTTTTTCTGTTCTTGTAACTGAAAGAGACATGTCAAAGTTGGATCCCTGTGTCCAGTGCCCTATCCCCAACTTTGTGGAAAGTGCTTTTATTCAGTTTGCCTACAAGAAATTGGGTGCCATTAACTGGAACAGGTCTAGTTGCTTATTTCTAGCCTGAGGCTATCCCATTTCCACCTTAATGAGATTCTGGAAGCATCTTGTCAGCTTCATGAAGAGCATCTTGGCTCCTTAGTACTTCATTTACAAACTGCCTCTTAAAAACGTTGCTTTCCAACTTTCTAGTGTCATCTGTTTTGTGCTGTGATTGCATTTTCAAAAAGTGATATTTTCAGAATATTGGTTTTTTGAAGCCTATGGCTCGTATACACTGACATAGTTTATAGACATTACTTGGGGAACCTGTAGTAATAACAATTTATGCTGCTATCCTAAAAATTACATGATATGTCCAGATTATCTTTAGAATTAAGGCACACTTTCGAATTCCTGTAATTTAGCACTTTGAGTGAGTAAATTTACATATATTGATGGGAATTATTTTAATAATCTAAGGAAATTTGTTTTTTATCTTTAGGATTGGTACTGCTTTGTATGAATAGTACAGATCCTCTTGTACTCTAGTTGATTCTGCCTATTGTCAAAATTTCTAGAATTTGTCCATAATTAAAGTCTTAGGATCAGTATCTTAGGGTAAGTCTAGTTTACTACTTAGGAAAAACAGCTAACTATCAAGAAAAAAAATCTCGTATTATAACTGGCTAATATATTCCTAAATGAGAATACTTGCAGTTTACTTTCTTTTTAATTAGTTTGCCAGCTTCTTATTTTACTTGGAATTAGAAGTAGCACATATGGGAAACCTCAGTAATCTTTTAATCTATAACCATAGGAAGAATAATAGGCAAATAATTTTTAATTATTTGTATGATACCAGTTTGGGAAAAATGACTTAAAATATTGTGTCAGCTTTTTTCAAGTCATCTAAGATCTTAATTTTTTATTTTGCAAGATCAATTTTAATCAGGAACTTCTAATATTCCAGGCTGATCTACTTTATTCATAATTACTACCTATTTCCACAATATTCTATTTGTTAAAACCATGAAATAAGGATCTCAGAACTTTAATTGAATGCTTTTCGTGTTTTTGTCTTTAAAGTATTCCCTTTGAAAATTGCTAACTTTCTCTTATAATAGCCTAAAGGTCAGTGTTTCTCGGGTTTTGGGGGGATCACCTGTATTAGAGTAAATTAGAAGCCTTTACTTTTTAAATGTAGATTTGGATCATATTTCAAATCCTTTAGTCAATCGTTTGGAATGAAATCTAGGTTATGTTTATACACAGTAAAATCTAAAACGTTTATGTAGAACTTTGCTTTTGCCATTAGAACCTTGGGAAATAAAAACAAACAGTAATATAAGTAGATGCTTTTGTTGTTACTTTTCTAAGAATATTTTACTTTGTCCTATCAGTCTTTCAAATTGTTTTTATTAGCTACCATCCTATATTCTCAAGGAACCCTCTGGAAAATATATTTTGTGGGGAAAATTTGTAATTTTTCTTTCAAAATTTTATACTCATATTTTGACACAGTAACTCTTATTAGGAGTAATATCCAGACAACTTTTAATATTAATACTAACATAGTTTAACATGTACAAACCTAGTCCTTGGAATGCTTATGAGTCAACTTCTTTAGGTTCCTCTTGAAGAAGGAGTTTTATCCTTTGTTATTAGGAAAGTTATGTCAATAAATCATCTGGTGATGGTTATAGTATCTTAAATCCCTCTTTTGCCTCAGCTTTCATTACATCTCTAAATAACTGGTTTATCTTGGGCCAGATTCTTGCTGGCCTTTGATAGATGATCCTCTGCTTACTTTCACAAGTTGTATTATCTTTGTAAGTTGAGTTCAGTATTGATCATCTAAATATGCTTCGTTAGTAACTGATAATTGATGCCAAGTTTGGTTTCTGAAGTTATTAGGTAAGAAAGTGGGCCAAAACATATTTAATGTAAATTGCTATAGAAATTTAAGAATATGGGACTAAGGCTTTTTAATACTGAGGGATATACCAGAGTTTAACTCCCAGCTACATCATCTAAAAGCTAAGGCGCAGCTGATGTTATAATTTCTGACTTCTCAAGAGTAACAAAAAAGGGGGGAAACTTTTGAATTGAAAAACGAGAGGTGATTACAAATACATTAGTACAATGGGTCAAAAAAGTTTTAAGTCAATTTTCTTAAAAAATATTTTGGTTCACATAATATTGAATAAATGTGGTTTGACTTTTAGTGTTAGCCCACAAAAAAATCAAGTTCTGATACATTTTACAATGTTTTAAGTCAAGGAATTATTCAGAAGGTATCCTAGAACTCAATCTAGTAACTCTTCACCTACCAATATATGAGATATTTTGATAAATTATTAGAAATCATGAGTGGAGAACAGTTTAGCTGATTTAACTTAATCATCGTATATCATTTTTATGTCCAAACAAAATAAGAAACAGTAACTTAAATACCATAAAACTATGGTGTGGCTCAGCTAATTATCTGAACTAAAATAGATATTGTGCCATGAATGACAACCAGACAGCACAGATATTTATTATTCTTCTATTTCAATTTATGACATAGCAGTGTATTTTACACTTATATTAAAAAATAAAGCTCACAAATATTTCAGCAGAGAAAATATGCAAAAAATGTCCAAGTACAATAATAGTTCATTTATCTGTCATCACAGTTAAATGCTAACTTGCATTAAGTCAGTTCCTCAGGCAACTGAGGCAAATCCATTTAAGCTTTACATCTTATAATGGTGTTTAATAGAAAATGTACTTTCTATTTAACCACATTTTCTAGAATACTTAGAATATGATTTAATATATTATCATCTTCAGGATTATTGTTTCTACAGTGAGGGTGATGAACAGAAAGTCACTCTCTGGAACCACTGAAATAGTATGTCATGGGCCTGTTTACCCTTCATTGCCATGCTTTGAGTTACATCTGTTTTTTACAGTTTCTCTATCTTCCCTTATAATCAGCTGTCACTTTTTACTGCTATCTTGTGTGCCTGCCTCCTGCACTAGGCCCCTAAATTTGCTGCTTCTAATCTGCTGTGGACTGAGAAAACCAGATTGCCAAGCTTTCTAGAATTGTGTCTAAAATAAGAGTAAGTAGACTGAAAGAATGTTAAGGGGCTTTTCTGTTAAAGTGCATGGACTTTGTGGTACATTTTTGGCTGCTTTAGCATACTTTTGTTAGTCTCTTAAGTTCTTCACTAAGAAGTTGCTTAAAACACAGCTGCTAAAAATCACTGTGAAAGCTATATAATTGAAGCATTAATTTAGTTTTTCTATATTAATGGTTCTAGGACTGTCAATAAATTTAGCTATAAGAAAAAACTTAATTGTCTTTTTTATAAATCATTGTGTATATTTTAGGAAAATTTAAATATTTTGTTCTTATTCATTGTTCCTAGCACAGCATACATATTTAAATTTATGAATGTGACTTCAGTTCTGTTGACTAAGATATTCTAGAAATATTGGTTTGAGTCTAAACATACATGACTAGTAAGACCTGGCTAACTGAATATTTGGGGAATGAGTCATTCAAGATATCTGTGTTTTCTATGAAATTTAAACCTCTTTAAGCATTAAAAATTTTTGGAATTATTTCTGAAGAAAATCTTTTTGAAACAGTATGGTTGCTATCTTAAACAATATATAAAATATATTTTAATCTTTCTTGATGTCAAAATGATCATTATTAACATTAGTTATACTTTGATAGACTTAATCAGGCACTCAAATGGCTCCATTTTGCTGGAGTTTTAGTTTCTTGTCTTTGGTTTGCTAATAGTAGTTTTAATTCCTCCATTTATATTACTGCTTACTTAAGTATGTCCATAGCAGTTGCCTTTCTCCACCTTCGTAATACTCCTTCTAATCCACTTTGGATTGGAAACCAGGTGACTAAGACAAAATAATATGTAATGAAAAAGTAAATTGACTTAGAATGAAAACTTGAACTGGATTATACTTCAGTGTGTGAATTTTATGACCTCTATTACTCATTGCTGTCTATAAAGTAAAGTTACTAGATTAGATAACTCCTCTCAAAATAGAGATGTTATTATACAGAATGCCACTTATTTCCATACTTTACCTTCTCTATTTCTAATCCTCCTCTAATTTTTAACTCTGATGTAAGCCATTCCACTGAATTTAACATTCTGTAGTACTTTCTGTTTGAATTGGATGCCACATACTGCTAAGAATTTCTTCGGCTAGGTTGCTTTCTTTCCTATGATTGTTTTTAAAGGTATGTATCTTCACTTCCAAAACATGAAGTAGGTTGAGCCCTGGAAAATAAAACATTAATTGTTGCTCTCTCAGAAACTGAAAGTAATTAGGTGTTTAGACTACCAATTATGCGACAAAGAATTTATTCTTTGATTATGGTAAATTTTAAGATAATACCTTGATAGCAGTTGAGTTTTCTGTGTCAATTAAATCAATTCAATTTCAACTGAATTTTGATTCAATTAAATGTGTTCAAAGTTTGCTGAAAGTGATCAATGCCAGATACTGATATCGATATGACTATAATTCTATATTTTTGCTGTTCAAATTAATTAGGCATGGTGATTTTTTTTCTTGCACGAAAATAAACATAAAATATGTATGTAATATAAATGTTACAGTGTTTTCAAGTAAATAGCAAATCAGCCTAAAAGGTTATAGCCTAGCATTGAAAAATTTAATTTTACCAGTAAGTTGATTGTGTTTTAGTAATTGTAGTTGACTCATTCTTCCAACATATACAAGGGAATTGCAAAATTATTTGATAGCCATGCCTCAGTCAGCTTTCAGTTTCTTATGCTACTGAAAAGAAATGATATAATATTTACTTTAGAAAAATTATCCAAACCAGCTTCTTGAAATGAGGCTGCCACTACTGAATAGTCATGATGCCAAACCTGGGTTAGTGATACCAGGAGGAAAATTCTCTTTGAATATAGTTGGGAGGGAAAAGTAATTCTACTCAGTGCAATTGCTATAAACCAAAAAGAGGACAAATTATTTCCAGGGTACACACATACCAAAGTTTGAATGTGAATAAGGAGTTTATGGATATTTGTCTAGTAAGTTAAAATGCACATTTTTTTAGTGTTATATACATTTTAACCTGTTAACGATTAAGTTAGTTTGTTTCATCTCTGTTATGAATTTCAGTGGGCACATATCAAACGTGATAGCAACAGAATATTATTTAAGTTGTGTATACTTATGTCTAAACTATCTTTAATAGTGTATCCTATGAGTTATGGTTATAGAAATACATATTTCCTCTCATTTATATCTAAAAGTTTCTCAAGGGAAAATTTTGTTATTTTTGACTTTATAGTTTTCACTTTTGTAGCATTTCCTAAAGTTTGATTATCTACAAGTGATTTATCATTGAACATCTTTTCTAAAACTAAAATGTTTTTATAGACTTATTCTTTTATAATATCTGAAAAGATTACAAGACTCTTTTTCACCTTTCCAAATAGCTAAATTAACTCCACTTCTAAATCTAGTATTTTCTGCACCTCTATTGTACCAACTTGTACCTTCTGTTCATATTATGACTAAAATAATGTTTACTAAGTCCTAGCATTTGGCAACACACAGAAAGCTCCAGAAATGTTATTCCCATTCTTTAATGACTGGTGTATTGTATTGTCCTGGTAAAGCCCTGGAGGTACTTGTGAGAGAAGAGCCCTGAAGTCCACCTGAGATGAAAGCACTCCCAAGGAGTTTGGTTTTGTTTGGGTTTGTTCTAGGTATGGTCCCAGGGATCCCAGATCAAACCAGGCCCCTGGGCCTATCCTAGAACCAACCTAAACTCGTGCATCATTCCTGAACATCAAGAGTATGAAGACTGAAGATAATCTTATGCTGATTAGACATCCTATGTTCACCAAGATTCACATTGTTGTAAAATGTGCCTACATTTTAATAAATTTGGTTAGTTAATCCTTATATTAAAAAAGTTTTACCACGTTTCCTCACAATTGTCACAACAGAAATGTGACAATGTAATGTGGCTATTAATTGCCAGTGAGATTGTTCTTGTGCTGTTTATCAGATACCAATTTTTAGGTTAAACAATTTAACCACTCAAAAAAATAAAAATCTCTTCCCAATTAAAGGTTTTTGTTTTCTGTAAGACTTTCTAGTCAACAATATTTTATCAGTCTCATCTAACAAATTGCTCACAGTTTTTAAAAAGCATTTGGTCTTTGCTTTCTGGCTTCAGTGCTAAGACATTTTAAACTTTTGTTTCTGAAGACTGATGCCTTTTCCCTTTAATCCCTATTGAATCCATACATTGCTTTGAGCTCACTTTTTGAAGTTAAGATCTTGGAAGAATCCATGCATCATTTACAGGTGGAATATCCCCCTGTTAAATTCACTGTAGGCTAATTTCAGAATCTGATGTAGTTGAAGACAAATTAAGATGATATAGTGAAAATTGGTCTTTATCTGACATAACAGCATTTTGCAGGTATTAGGTGATCTAGTTGTTTTATCACATGGTTTCATATAACCATTACAATTCTATAGTTATATACATGTTTTTATGTTTAAAGACAGGAAAGGACCCCAAAATCCAAGAGCTTTGGTATACAATAAAAATGTATGCATTTGATAATAATAGCATTTATGAATAAGTTTAGCCCATGTTGGAAATATTTGCTAGCTAATCAGGTATTCCAGCTAAAGCACCTGAAGCCATGCTGTCCCTTGTCACACCAGAAAGACTGGGTCAGTGTGTAATCCTGTCTATGAGGACTGTGAGCTCACTCAGAAGAATCCAACCCTAGGCATAGTTCTCTACTGCACTCTTCACATAGATGTTTCATCCTGAGAATCCTATTATTTTTGTCTTTTAAATCTTATTATGTCCACCCTTTTCTTTCAGTGTTTTTCTTTTTGAATGGTGTTTTCATTATTCAAGACACTGTACGTTAATATGCTTAGGTAACATTTTTCTTTTTATAACACAATAGACTGGTAATAGTGACCTTTAAATTTTTATTTCTTTTAAAGCCAAATCACTTAAATGTTTTTACTGTCTCATAAACTCTTTACTTCATTTTTCTCCAATAAGCAATATAGAATTAATTAGGTAAGCCTTACATTTAGTTTCTTCAGAATATATGGCATATTTTTTCACCCAATTATGGAAATGTTTTTCTAACATCAGTAATTTTGTATCAGAACACTAATCTGTAAAAGTAGTTACTGTAATGTGAAACCCCTCTTATGTTTATGCAAAGTAAGTGTCCTTAGTATTTGGGGAGGGGGACTTTTCTCACTCAGCATTGTTAATTATCAACACTAAATAGGAATTTATGTACTTGTAGGGTTGGGACTTGTTTACACAGTGGTAAAGTCTGCCTTCGGATACCTTTCTTAAGTTATCTTTTTTTAGTATTTGAGAATATTCTTTCAGAGGTATTTTAATTTTTACTTTTTTACTAGTTGTGTTTTATATAGAACTGTACATCTGCTAATCCTACTTGAAAGCTTGAGATTATAACCTTTCTTAAAGTGTTTTCTTTCTTCACTGTGTATCTTGTTAAATTGAATACTTGTCAACTGTTTTTAAAGGATTTTACAGTAACTCAATAATAGGTTTGTATATGCCTGTAGTATTGTTCTTCCTAAGTTTAAAGTCTCTAATAATAATTAAAAAAAAAATGTACTCCTTGACTATCTTTTTTGAGTGTGTCTTTTTTCTTCTGGTGTTTGCAACATGAATTAGCCAAAAGGTAAAAATCCTTTTTTTCTTCCTTCTGTCACTATTTTTCTTCTATTATGGTATCAGAATTTGTTAATACAACTACACAAAGGCAGCCCTTGTTTAGAAAAGTCTGGGTTTTGTTACTCTAACTTATATTTGGTCTTCATATGGTAGTTTATCGGAGTGAAACTGCAATCTAAGAGTTTCAAATGTTTAAATCTTCATTTTTCACCATTACTGTCAACCATTGGCTACATTCTAATTATAGTATGTTGGCTTATGTGATCTCCCTCTCAGAAAAGACATTCTAAACCAGAAAGAATGTTAACATTGAATAGATCATACTATGTCCTTATAATATAGTTGAATGAATTATTGGTTTGAATCTCTATGCTTAACTACACTTTTGAGAACATTCATGAGAACATAATTCTAAATTGGCTCTGTTGACTAAAGCTAGTTAAAATAATAAGCAGTATCTTTCTAGAAATGATTTGAGGCAAGGAATACATATTCGTGATGGTAATTCTTGAAACTTGACCTTTGTATGATATTTACTAATCAAAAGTAAGAGAGAAGGCAA